GAGGATACACTGGACAACATCAAAATGTAAAGCTATAGTTTCTAGACCAGGGATCACCTGTAGATGATGGTGATACTGTGCTGAAGAAACAAATGAAACAGGAAGTGTTTCTGAAGAAAGCCACAGTTTTATAATTATTTTCACCTCCTCATCCAGTCTTAACTGGCAGAGAGCAATTATAGTTCCCATATGGAAGAAAAAAGGTGATAAACGAGATTGTGAAACATACAGAGGTATCTCTTTACAAAGCCATGTAGTAAAGATGTTTGCAAAATATTAGAACGAAGAGCGAGGGTGATATTAGAACCTCAATTAAGTAACAATCAGTTTGGATTTAGAAAAGGAAAGAGCTGCACTGATGCAATATTTACTCTTCGGCAAATTTGTGAACAGACAATCGAATATAATAAACACCAGAATCTTATATTCATTGATCAAGAGAAGGCTTTTGACAGGGTTAACAGAAATAAACTATGGAACATTCTTGAAGAATATGGTGTACCGGGTCAATTATTGGGAAACATAATGGCTCTCTATCAAAATAGCCAGAGCGCTGTAAGAACAACGGAAGATATGACAGACTGGTTCCCCATTACATCAGGAGTACGACAAGGATGTGTCCTATCACCCCTACTCATCCTCACATATATGGATACAATTGCACAGGAGTCAAACCAAAACACAGATATTATAAATGAACTACTCTTTGCAGATGACCAATGTTTGTTACAAGAAGAAGAAAAAAAAACTACAACAACATGTTGATTCATTGCTCACTAACTGTACAAAATTTGACATGAAAATAAACACCTCAAAAACTGAAGTAAAGACCATAGGAAAGAAACACAGTAATGTAAACATAAAGATCAATGACATACAATAAGAACAAGTTCAAGAATTCAAGTACTTAGGATGCATATTTACAGAAGATGGAAGACTCGATAAAGAGATACAGGCTAGAGTTTAAAAGGCCAATGCAGTCAACTACCAACTGGCCCCACTTCTTCGTCATCCAAAGATCTCGTTACCAGCCAAACAACGGATGATCAACAGCATTTTCATCCCTACGTTATGTTATCAGTGCCAAACGTGGACAATGAACAAATCACATATGCAAAAAATAACTACGTGTGAAATGCTATGTCTCCGAAGAGTCACCAACAATACACGAAGAGACAGAGTCACAAACGTCAGCATTAGAGACAAAGTTGGAACAAGAGCATGCATGGAACATATTGAAAGACAGAGAATGAAGTGGTTTGGCCATTTAGTAGGAATGCAACCGGATCAGATTGCTTATAAGGCCTTTTACAGTAGAACATCAGGAAGAAAGGCCAGAGGAAGACCCAGGAAAAAATGGATAGATGGAGTAGCTGAATACGGCCAGAAGATCCAGAAAACTGTCACTCAAATCACGCGAGAGGCACAAAACAAATATGTTAAACCACGACACTGGGCTGCAACCCGGTAAAAGTGAAGAAGACAATAGATAGATAGATAGATCCAGTCTTAATTCGTTGACCACACTTTATTCTTAAAGCCTTGTTCAGATTTAAATTTCCTCCTCCTTGCTTTCATTATCTATCCATTCACTGGATTAATTTGCTCATTGTTTCATTTTGGTATGTTCAGTTTTTCATTTATGATCAGAAAGTGAGCTTTACTGTTATAAAATAATGAACAGTAATTATGGAAATGATAAACACATGTACAACACTGTATCTGCATCCTTGCAATTTTACACCCCCCCCCCCCCCCCCCCCCCCCCTTTTCAAACGACCAAACCCCCCACCCACACAATCGCATTTAAAATAAAAAGAGCAAAATCACCTGTAAGGTATGTGTTGTGGGAGGAATTAATAAAGTAGTGAACTAGCGGTTGGTCCATGTCTTCACTGATGTCCAACTTATCAGGAGGGATCAAATTATTATCCTCACTCATGAGAAATTTAAGAAAGCCTTCCTGGGATAAATGACCTACAAAAAAAAAAAATTTTAATTTCATTATTTATTGTAAATATTTCTCTGAAAATATACATTTTTACAATTGTTTATAATATAGAATAGAAGTGGACATGTGGTAAGCTTATGGTATAAGCTATTTTGCTTCCATGAACAAATTGCCCTTGTTCAGTCTTGTGGTCAATTTTGCACAGACTCTTTTCTTTACCAGATCTATTGCAGCTATTTTACAAAGATTTCCTTTTGTCATCATCATCATCATTGCCAGCTGGCATGAAATATCATGCCTCTTCACAATCTGCAATCTTCAACAGCAGGTATGAGTTTCTGTGCTGACACCCGTCCATGCCACAACAAAAGGTTGCAAAAATATTCTTAAACTGTCTTCCTCAGATCTTTCCAGTGGTCACAATATGTTCCAGTTATTTATTCTCATAAAATGACTGAAAAATTATGACTGTCTCTTCCTGATGTTTGTGATAAGTTGTCTTTAAACCCGTGCACCATTCCTACCCCACTCAAGAATGTGAAAACATGTTACTATCCTACTCCATATGTGTGTGAGTGTAACAATGTACTGACACAACTGAGTCTACAGGGACTGTTCAATTGCTCTTGTTCTAGGTGAAGTTCCAGGTTTAGTTTCAGTGTAGCTGCAGGTGTCACACTGTCTAGACCGGACTAGAAGATTTGACCTGCCTAAAGTGTCTCCAAGGCTGCGCCAAGAGCTGACTAAAGCAACATGAGCTACTGACAAGTAGACATATCAATCCATTACGTAAATCCGTAATCCATCAACCAGATTTTTCCCAAGTCCGAGGATTAGATTGATTCCAATTAAATAAAATTTTTGTTAATGTTTCATCCTGATTTGTAGACACAATTGTAACTGTAGGCATCTGTATGTCAGTGAGCAATAGCTCTGTAGACTTGCTGCACATAGTGCATTTGCTTGAGGAAAGCGAATTTTATTAGTTTTCTTGTCTTGATTTTGTTCCTGGTGGATTCCTAGACAACAGCATTATTGTAAAATATTTTGTGTTTAAGTGTTTTGCCATGTTTGATATGGCATATGCTTATATAACACTGGGAGCTCAGAGTCATAATAGTTACTAATTAGCCTGTTGTGTTTTTCAGTATTTAAATTAGGTAATTAGTTAACTGTAATTCATCAACAGTTTTGAATTTTAACCTACATTAGAAATTTTGAAGATATAATTGGCTATCCCTGAAGATGCATTTGCTATGAAAGCACACGGTGCTGGAGAACTGGCAAGAGACAGACACTATTAGGCTTGCCAAGTAGAGAGGGACGCATTCCACCAGGCATGATCAAATTAAATTCATTGTAATGCTTTAATACAAGGCATGAAAGGTATTCTAGCAAGGAGTGACAGAATTAAACAAAGCATCTTTTAGGAAGCATGCATGGGTCATCAGAACAAGTCACCATTTGGCATTCAAACATTTTTCTAACTTCTTCAGAAGATGATGGATATAGGCCACAAAGAAGGATTCTGACTGCTTACTGAACTGCTGTCATGACTAACTATTGTGAAACAGTACTCTGAGAATTTTTTAACGGGTCTTAACAGCTGAAAGTCACATAATCAAAGATCAGGACTGTAGGCCGGATGTATTAGAACATTCCACCTCTTCTATCAAACACTTCTGGCACAGTGTTTGGGAAATGCAGAAAAGCATTACCATGCAACAATTCTTTTCCATGAATACAATACTAATGCCAAACTGTTCATAAACACACATAGCCCAGCAAAAGCTTGAGCAACCTTTTGCCTCTAGTTATTTCATTCAGTTCCATATGTGAATTCCGTAATTAGGAAAATTCATTTATTGCCTGTGGTAATTTGTCAACACCAGCTTTAATCACAGGCATTTTCAGAAGCTAAAATGTATGCTCGCTGATTTATGTGCATCCTCTGATGATCTCAAAAATACAACCATTCAAAATTTTGTTAGGGCACTTTGGAAGTGAGTGAACAGGGGAGAAGTACAAATGGATCATTACAGTCTGAGGAGAATGGCGCTGTGAGGAGTTACCAGAGGATCTGGCCAATGCTAAGCACTCAGGGAAAAAGCGATCGCATATATATACATTCAGAGTCATTGGTGCCACCTGAACTAGAACTCTTTGCTTGCTGCTGAAGATGGGGAAGGAGCACCTATGAGATTGTCTTAAGTAATTCTTAGTTCAACATTCAAACAATACAACCATTACACAAGTTAACGAAGATTCTAAGTCTTTTTTTTTTGCCATTGCAATTCAATCTCAGCTTTCTTAAACCTGGCTGAGAGTCTGAGACATATAAAGTGAATCTTGGGTACTGATTTTAATATACTCTCTTTGTAAATGAAAGCCATTTAGCAGTCATAACCCCCGTTCTCATACTGGAAGTTATTTGATTCACACTCTTCCGTTCAGCAGTGCTGTTTTAATATTTGCTGAGAATCTTCATCCTGATTTTTTACTGCACAGAGCAAACATGCCATTACATCATTATCCTCGCATAAGAATTTTTTTCTGCTGCTCTCTGTACCCTACTGGAGCACAGCTCCCCACAACCAACTCAGGTCAAGCCAAACGATGCAATAAAGTACCCAAAAAACTGTAAAAATTCATTCAGTTTTATATAATGAGCATTAGCAAAATAAACAAAATTTGCTCTTTTTTTATTAAAAAATTGAAGGTATATATATATATATATATATATATATATATATATATATATATATATATATATATATATATATATATATAATATATATATAATGTTAAAATGGTAACTAAGTATCTATCTCCCTTCCCTCCCTCTCCAACAGTCTTTGCGAACAGTCAGCATACAATAATTTTAGCATTCACATTACGCCTTAACTCTGATTATATTTGTGAACGAGTCGCAGATAATCATTTAGTGAACATGAGAAACCCCATGCTCGAAAAATGTCCTATAAAGTGCTTTAAATAACTCCACAATTAAATCTGTATATGCCCATACAAACAGACAAATAAGTGTTACCTTTCTGTGCCATCCCCGACTTGTTCTCATACCGATGTATAAGGGCTTCTGCTTGTGCCAGACTATAGTGTGGATACAGAATTTCATTCAAACGAGGATCTCGCTGCTGTTTATTCAGAAAATCACAGACCTGCTGAGCTGTAAGGTAGGGTTTCTTTTTGGCTCCTCTAAATCAAATAAAAACATCTTATATGAACGTGACTATAAAGAGGCTAAGTATTTTTAATGTATGTTGTGCACTGAATTAAGTCAAGAATTATCACAACACTCAAGACATTTCAATGTGCCCCATCCCAGCTAAGGAAGAGTTTCGACTCCGATAGTACCAGTAGCAGCTTAATTATATGTCCATCTTGCCTTTCCTCGGAGAGCAGAGTGCCATTTAGATCCCCTGGTCACTATCTACTGTGCCATTCTCTTTATACCGTAATGATCTATCCATGCTTCCATACTGCTCCTATGTTTCCCATTATTCCCGGTATTCACTCAATCTTACTAACATCAATTTTAATGGTTAATAGAAAAATGCAGATTTTAATGATGGCATTACAAGGCAATTTCAAGTTGTATCCCAAAATATTGGCACATTACATACTTCTTCTGCCTTTCTATCCCCCAATGGAGCACAGGCCCTCAACCAACTCACGCCAAGTCATTCTATCCTTCGCCATTGCATGGAGCTCTCGCCATGTCCTCCCAATCTTTCTTACCTCATTCTCCAGCTCGCTTCTCCATGTGTTTTTTGACCTTCCTTTATTCCTATGCCCCTGTGGGTTCCAATCAAAGACATTCTAGTTATGCTGTTCTCCTGTTTTCACAGTGTGTGTCCTATCCAACGCCAGCGTCTTTTCCTCACCTCTTGGTTCACTGGCGCCTGTTTAGTTCTCTCCCAAAGTTCTACATTAGTTATTCTATTATACCCTTTTATTCCCTCTATTCTGCACAGGCACCAGTTAATGAATGTCTGTAATTTATTAGTAATCGCCTTGGTTGTTCTCCATGTTTCCGCCCTATACAATAGTACTGATTTGACATCATAATTAAAAAATTTTTAGTTTAGTATTTCTTTTAATTTCTTTTGACCTCCACAAATTCCCTAGTGCTATGAAAGCCCCTCTTGCCTTTTGTATTCTTATTTTAATATCTCAATCAGTTCCTCCATCTTTATCTACATTATTGCCCAAATAGGTGTACGACTCCACGTCTTGGAGTGGGGTGCCATTAAGAGAAACTGCATTACTATTTGCCTGATTTATTCTCATTATCTTTGTCTTTCCTTTATGGATTTTCAGACCAAGCTGCTGTGATCTCGCATCAAGTATTTTTAATTTATCTTGCATCTGATTCCATGAATGGGACAGAAGAGCAATTTCATCAGCGAAGGCCAGATCATCAAGTTTTCCCACCTTCTTACCTTTCATTAAACACCTATCAGTATATATAATAATGTCACCTGGACATGAATGATCAGCTCTTGCAAACCTGACTCTGTTTTAGCAGCTATCCATTCCCAGCATCCTTGGTCCAAAGTAACTATCACTCTATGCAAGGCTGTTTTTCTGGGTGACATTGTGATCCATTCTGCACATTGCATTACTCTGTTAGCAGTACAAACATTTCTTATAGTGACTTTGCTTATAAAGAGCCGATTCTTTTCATCCAATGTCCCCTGCTATCCCCTAAGGCCTCATGCAAAAGATGCTCCCTGTCCATCGTGACTTTAAGGTAAATTTTTGCCTGTAAAACATTATATCTTCCATATTCGGATGGCAATGTAAAAATGTACAGCATGCAGACAATTGGGTGTCCCGTGTACATCCTCAACAGCTAATGTGCACAGAACCTAGACCAGTATGTCATAAAGATGGTGCTGAAATGACCAACGAACATAATTCAATTTATTCGTTCACTGGCGTGCTCAGTCTATCAATGTTAAATAACATGTTTATTCATCAGTTTATTCATTTCAAAACTCAAATGAGTTTTCAGTTTCTCAAGGTAAAAATAATGTAATGCCTGCTTACAATTCACCAAAAATCTTATTCACCTCTGAATGACAAAGAAAGTGTCTGTGAAAACAGGAAGTTGTCAAAAGTAAATTTCTGTTCATTAAATAAGTCTGTCTAAAATGGAGGAGGAAAAGTGCTACTGAGCACACACACAAAGTTTTCAAATTCTCAAAATAAAAGAAAATGTAATGTCTGCTTACAGTTCATCAAAAATCTTGTCCACCTCTGTACGACCAAGAAGGTGTCTGTAAAAATTGAAGAAGTTGTAGAATGTAAACTTCTGTGCATTAAAGGAGTCTGTCTGAAATGGAGAAAACAGTGCTACTGAGGAAAAACAAATTAGTTTAAATGTGTTAAAAAACACTTATAATGAACATATGTTCAAATTCCAGACATCTGAAGAGAGGCATTTACTGATGTTCAAAGGCTAGAAACCGGAAGGTTACTGCTGTGCCTAACCTTAGTCTTCTGGTATGTGTGAATTAGGTAGCTTAATTTATACAAACACACACTGGCATGGGGATTTGCGTCAGACACAACATGATGGTTCTTGTTTTTATGACTTTCATTATGTGCAACACTAACAACAATGCCAAATTATGTTAGTTTTCTCCAAACAAACCCCCCCCCCCCCCCCCCCCCCCCCCCCGCAAACGCTAGTTACTGCCTGTATTTACCATTTTTGTAGTACATGCAGGGTGGGATGAGATCTTTGAGCCTGAGAACTTAGTGTTGCATTGCTAGTGCTATAAAGTTTTTCTTTTGCCCCCGACAGAAATAAATCCATGACGTTACCTGGATCTCTAGTATGAGAGCTTATTGTTCTTAACCATTTGGCCAGCCGCTCCTCCGTCATAAACAAAGACTAAAAAATCCTTATCACCTCCCCCCACCCCCTAAATTTCATGCTCCAAATAGAACATCATCATTTATGAAATAAAAATATTTATAAACAAACAAACAAATACACACACAAATAACGCAGTCCACAAGAACAGAACAAGTCCAGAAGTGGATTACAGCCCACTATTAGCATCCCCGGAAACAGAAAGGTAGATAAGCTCATGAAGGCTACATGGTACGACTGCTCCATCTGTTTCAGAGCTTTAAAGGAACTTATGATGCAAAAAAACTCAAGTCAGATTTGCAAACATATTCATAACACTGCCATGCCACCTAAAACAATTTGCTTGTAAATGTTTTTTTAAAGCACTGTAGTTTGATCAAGATTATTACAGATTTTCGAAAACAGAATTATGACGAATCTTTGGACCCATCAAAGATGCAAACAGCAGTGAATGGGGAGAGAAGCAACAACGAAATTCGTAATCTGTTTAAATCACCATTGATCACTGGCATCATGAGAGCTAATAGACTTAAATGGTTGGGGCAAACTGAAAAAATGTCAGATGACAGAGAAGTAAAAACTGTATACACCAGGTAGATGAATGGTCGTAGACCGCCAGGCAGACCAAAAAAATAATGGAGAGATAATATCTAGACAGACCTGCAAACACTTGGTGTCACCAACTGGAAAGAGAGGGCCAACGAGGGAGAGGAATGGAGGTGGGTGATATCTGCAGCAATGAGCCTCAAGGGCTTGGAATGCTGAAAAAGAAAAAGAAGTTTAATCAAGGGCATGGGTATGACAGATCAAGTTAAAGTTATTGCATGACAAATACTGCCACAAAGTGTCAGGGATAAATTTCATAATTATCTTGCAGATTCATTTCCCCAGAAAAATCTTAGGCACCCATATGTCAAGATTGGGCAACCATTTATACGGCTCCAAACTGTTGAGTCATAATCTCTAGTCAGCTATAAATTGTGCTTAGACAGATAGGTAACTTATGGGCTGGACTAGCTATTCTGCCAGCATATTGAAAAGTCTGCGTGTTACCTGTGTTTTATAGTACTAATTGTTTACGCTCACCCATGATTTGTAACAAATGAAAATCTATAATCATTTATCATTGTAATGTATTCATACCTTTCCAGCATGAAATCCTTCAGCCTCCAAAGCCTTCTCTACTTTTTTTCTATCATCTCTGTTACTTGTGATGCTCTTGAAAATGCTGGGAAGATACATATTTTCATAACAGTGAACATACAGAAATATGCTGCTGAGAAAGTGTTGTGTCCCTTTGTTGTGATGTAGAATATAGCACCTGTGATTAAGATGTTTCTGTCAATCATCTGTATTTTTGTTTAGATTCAATAAAATCTTCTTCAAGTTATTATTAAATCTTAGTTGGGTAAATTGTGTACTTAGGTTCAAGTGTCTTTATATATACTAGTTTACTTCAGCTCACATATGTAAATCATTTGATGAGAGCTGTCTTTATATATACTAGTTTACTTCAGCTCACATATGTAAATCACTTGATGGGAGTTTTGTTATAAATTAGTACCAGGAGAGGAGAAAGTCAGAGGGGTTAACAGGTAGGTATGCCTATTGTCACACATTTAAAGGGAATCTTGAAAAATACCCACTAGTGAGTGTGATAATTAGATGTATGTGTCGTAAACTGAGGCTGACCAGATACCATTCTTGGTACAGTTCAGGTGTGAGATAGATTTTGCACAATCAAAGATATTAAGAAGTGAAACAAAGACAACAACATAGTGGCCATCGCTGTTAAATAAGGACAGCAGCAACGCACAGACAAATATAGTGCTCTCAACCAATTACGAGAAGCACCACAGACTGAAAAGAAAATAATTGAATGTTGGTTGACTGAGAACACACCAGTATCAGCACCACTATCAATCACTGCGGCATCATTCATGGTTGCGCAGAAGACAGGCTCAACTTTGAAAAAGTGTTTTGAGAAAGCCTGAGAGAAATGATTGCCCACATCAGAAAGAGACAATCCACATTCTTTAGTCATGTGATAAGAAGGAGAAAACAATAGTACATCGTCAAAGCTGGAGGGGAGGAGAAGCAGAGGGAGACCAAGAGAACAGATGCTGGACAGTCTGACATCATGGTATGGAAGATCATCTGTGTCATAGTTTACTGAAAGTACACGAGACAGAAGAATTTGGACAGACATGACTACAGAAGACTCTAAGAAGAAGTGGCACCTAAAGCATACAGGGTCAAAGTTCTTACGACTGCACACGATACTCCTTTTGCAAGACACTTAAATACGGGTAAAAGGCAAAGGAGGATTCTTTCACAATTTTACTGGCCTGGTTTCTCTAAAGACACGATGATATATTGCAGGTCATGTCAGGAGTGTCAATGATTGGCAAGGAAGGATGCATCGCAAAATGCTCCAATCTAAAGGACATACATACCATTTCGTCCATTCAAGAGAGTAGCTGTTGACATCAATAGAACTGTCTTTATTATGTCAAAAAGAGGATATCACTACACATTAACTTTTATGGACTGTATACTCGTTGGTCTGAAGCGATATCGATGAAATCTAGAGCTATAGGGAACTGTAGACAAAGTGTTCGACGGGTGTGCAGAAATGGGTGCTATCATCAATTCAGAAGAGGCGGCTGTTTTGTGGTGCTCTCTGGACAATAGAATTGTAAGAGCTAATGTTTCAAGCCTCACAATTAATGAAAATAACATCAGAAGAGACAGTACACTGAGGGACTTCCGGTTTAGAAATGGCAGCGTGAAGACGTGTTTGCGGTGACACGCGATTTTATTTTTAAATTTTCACTTAATTTGTGTTTTTCTTTTGATAACAGAGTGTGATTATTACTAATTTATTGACGATGGATATTCTCTTGTTCGTGGTGTTATAATGGAATTTATCCCACAAAATAGCCACGGCGGCGGCCGTGTCCTAATACCGATAATGTAACAGCGTAGGAGCCACGCTCTTATTATAAACATGGGAGTCCACGGGTAAGACCCCAGTCTACTCTAGCAAAACAAGGTGCTAAAGTCGGAGGCAACCAGCTAGGAGGCGCACGACAGCAATCAGGATGCCACGCACAAACGCAACAGGGAATATTTCTATATCTGCAAATAAGTATGATTTTCACCATGTGACCCACTCACGCACACGTGGTTCGATTTACCGGCCTACGACAAGAAGAAAGAGTCCAGCTTCAAATACTCGAAGCCTCCCCCTAATACCCCGTAGAACCAGAAAAGCAGAAAATACAGCTAGTCTTAAAATAATGCACTGGAACGCGGAGGGAGTAAAAACTAAGAAATAAGAATTAGAAAACGTCTTCAACGAAGAGAATATACATGTATGCTGCCTACAAGAGACGTATCTCAAACAAGATATGGCCTTTAAGATCAGAGGCTAATAAGCCAACCAACCCACTCACCTTCTATTCACGAGCATGGCATGCCACCTCGACACCAGACCTAGCCTTTCACTCAGCAGACATGGAACTGAATGTTACCAAAACTGTTAGAAAGCAACTAGGAGGCAGTGACCACCGGCCAGTCTTTCTAACTATAGAAAGCCAGTCTGTAAGAGAGAGCAGCACACTGCCAAGGTGGAATTTTAAGAAGGCAGACTGGAAGTTGTATCAGCTTCGCACAAATGTTCTGCTGGAAAATCTGAACACAGATAACGACGTAGAAAAAGTAGTCCAAGAGTTGAGCAAAGGCATGCTGCAGGCAGCCCTAGAAGCAGTTCCAAGAGGTGCGCGTAAACAATACAAACCGTACTGGAATTGCGATCTGGAGTAACTGCACAACAATATGGAAACAGAAAGAAAGCAAGCTGAGACCAGACCTTGTCAAGAGCAGTTCAACAACTACCAACATTCAAAGGTCAAATTTCAAAGAGCCAAACTGCAGGCTAGACGGACAAGCTGGCAGGAAAAGACAAAGTCTCTAAACTTTGAAAGAGACACAAGGAAGTTGTGGAGGTTAATTAAACCAATTAATGATGAGAATACAGGAAGAAATGGTAATATTGCACTATGCAAAGAGGGAGCCATCCTAACAAGAAAACAGGCAGCTGACCACTTTGCAGATTCCTTTGCAGAAGACAGCAACATTAATGTCAGCCCAGAGAAACAGCGAGAGGTTCAAGAGAACAAACAGTATACAAGACAAAATGATATAATTCCTGAGGCTGGTGGCAGCATTTACATCAATAAAGCTGCTACAGATCTTTAATCATTGTTGGACCAGTGGCAAAGTTCCTCAGATATGGAGAGAAGCAATTACAATACCTCTGCTTAAACCAGGAAAGGACAGTTCTGATGCCTCCAGCTATAGACCGATCAGTCTTACCAGCTGCCTCTGTAACAATGGAACGTATTGTCAACCTTAGACTCGAATGGTACTTGGAAAGTGAAAACATTTTCATGCCGCAGCAGGCAGGATTTAGACAGTGCTACTCCACAGAAGACCAGACAACTTACCTTTCACAAGAAACTGAGGATGCCTTCCAGGAAAAGAAGTTAGTGCTAACGGCATAGATAGATCTGAAGAAAGCCTTTGACAAGGTCTGGAAAGAAGGGCTACTGAAGAAACTGAGAGACTGCAGGGTGAATGGGAGTATGTACAAATGGGTGAAAGCATACTTGTATAACAGAAGATTCCGAGTACAGATAGATGGACTTAAGAGTAAGAAAGTTTTGCTGCGCCATGGCGTCCCACAAGGAGGTGTCCTGTCCCCCACATCTTCCTAGTCTATATCAACGACCTGCTTTCTGAACTACCCCATGGAATTAAAGCTGCAATGTATGCTGATGACTTGGTACTCTGGTGTACAGATGAAAATGCGACAGTGGCCACCAGACTGCTACAAAGAGCCATAGATGCATTGGCTGATTGGGCCGACAAATAGTGTGTCAGCATCAACATAGGCAAATGCAGCACCACCCTCTTTACCCTTTCTCCTAAACAAAAATCAGGTGTCATGCATATAAATGGAGTACCCCTGAGAGAGGATAAGGAGCCCACATACCTCGGCGTAACATTTGATGATAGGTTAACATGGAGAAAACACATCAACAAGGCAGCTACCAAAGCCAGAAGGAGGGTAGCCATTCTGAGAAAACTAAGTGGAACCACATGGGGTGCTAGCGGGAAAATACTTAGGAAAGTTTACCAACAAAGTGTTCAACCACATCTTGAATACGGATCAACAGCATGGAGTTCGGCATCAAAAACCACATTGCAAGAATTAGACAAAGTGCAAAACCAAGCACTCAGAGTTACCACAGGCAGTATGAAATCAACACCTGGAGAAAATGGGGATGACCCAAGCACTGAGTGAACGCAGAGACACCAACATGCTTTTACAAGCAGAAAAGTTTCTTAGTATGCCCAATCACCCTATGAATGAAAGATTCCAAAATTTAGCTTTGGGACGACTAAAGAGAAGTAGTTTTATCCACCAGGCTAAACGGCTCGGCAGACAAACCACTGATTTACCTGCAACTGATAGATCCTTAAATGCTGTCCCAGAACGGACCCCCTGGAGAGAGGAGTATAAGTTTCCGATACACATCAAAACTGAAGTGAAAGGGGTATTTGACAAGGAAGAACAAAACAGTGTGCAGAACAAAACAGCCACCCTCAGTCTACTTGATGATGAATACCCGCAGAACCTTTGGGTCCGTGTTTACACAGATGGGTCAGCAGAAAGCGCAGTCAGAAACGGAGGTGCAGGAGTGTACATTAAGTATCCTAATAATACCAGGGATACAGCCAAAATACCAAAAGGAAAGCACTGTCACAACTATGATGCAGAAGTTCAAGCCATCAATATAGCGGAAGAGAAACTACTAAATACAGGGTATTTTTCACAACCAGTGGTATTCCTGACAGATGCAAAAGCAGTACTTCAGTCACTCCAGTCTGGAAAATTACCAAGCATACGGACACTATTATCCGAACTAGACAACCGTTGTAATTTAGTAATGCAGTGGATACCTTCCCACTGTGGAGTTCCCGGAAACGAAAGAGCTGATAAACTAGCTAAGGAAGGTGCAACTGAAGAACAACCTGACATTCCAGTCTCTTATCAACAGAAGAAGAGAATGATCAAATCAATCCGAATGCCACTGAAACTGGCACAAGATGATTACCATATTATGGACAGACCAGAGCAAGTCATTATCCTTTGCCTTAGAACAGGGCACTATCGACTTCGCTGCCACATGTACAACAAATTTAAGATTGGCCAATCAGTCATGTGTACTTGTGGACTGGCACCTGAAACAACAGATCACATCCTTCAAGACTGTCCCAGATTCAACGCTTTCAGGCAAAACCTTTGGCCAAAAGAGACACTTGTGGAAGTCAAACTTTACGGGCCGCATAGTGAATTACAAAAGACAGTGAAATTCATACTAGAGACAGCTTTGCAGATATAGATAATTTATTTCATGGGAACGAAAGAAGAAGAAGAAGAAGTACACTGAGGTACCTGTGTATCCTTTTCGACAAAAGCCTGTCCTTTAGAATTACCTACATAGCTTCATTCTGTATGCATTCAAGTTTCACCAGCTGACTCTTTGATATGGTAAGTATTCTAAGCCCATAATCTATCACTGACAGGATCACATGCTGGAACATTGTGAACAGCATTCTTTGTTCCATGTCCACTGCTGCCATAATCTTGAGAGCACTGAGTTCTTTTTGGCATTTTACCGCAACATCCTCCATATGATTCCTAGAAAATGACAGCCCTTTTTCTTCTTCTTCTCGTCCACCTTGTACCTCAGCGAAGTGTCAGGGGGAGATGTAACGTTCGTTGATAAGCTCTGTCAAGAGCACTTTTAAGATTGATGTTCATTTCTGTAAGGCCATTCTTAATGCCATCACTTCATCTTTTCCTAGGTCTTCCGCTCACTCTATACCCATTGTAATATTTCAGTGTGGCTCACTGTGGTAGATAGAACCAGGGCATTCTGTTAGGTGTCCAAACCACTTCATTGTTATTCTTTAATGACCTGTAAGATTGGCATTCTAGCATTCGTCTGATTTCACGATTTCATATTCTGTCTTTCCTTGAAACACCTGCAGCTTTTCTAAGGCATTTCATTTCTACTGTCACAATTTTAATAGCCCTCATTAATCATTAAAATGTAACTTTCCTACTCACTTTTTCATGGACACTTTCCCATCAGAGTCCAGCATCAAGCTAAACCGAGTAAACAACTTATCTAAGTATGTCAAACTACTGCTGTTCAAAGCCAGAAGATTCACTGAATATTTCAGAAGCTCATCAGCCCATTCCTGAAAAAAAAGAATGACATTTTGACAATGGATACCATGCCTTTTTCAAAAAAATAATCAACTAACAGATTTCAAAGAATGGGTTACTGATGGGTATAGTCTTCTTCTTCTTCTTCGTTTTCCCAGCTGTAAACTGTGGCGGAAAGTTCTGGTTGTTCGTCAACTTCTGGATTGCAGTCCTGTTCCAGATCTTGAGTGTTACGTGTGCATCCATTTTACAGATCTGACTCACTGGCATGCAGACTGCTAGTTCCTTGCCTCTCAGGCAGATGCACTCCGACTTCGAAGGAAGCTCCCAATTAGTCGACTCTTACAGCATGCTTTTGGGTAGGCAGTGGGTCTATTCTTGTTTTCCCTATAAGAGGGCCCCGGAACCCACACGGGTAGATGGGGATAGTGATTTTTTTGTTTGTGCCACATTTCTATTTTTCCACAACAATGATTATTCTTTTTTTCTGTGTTTTTTTAAAGTGCATATGGCAATTCTTTGTTTTATCTGTGTCTAGTATTAAAATAATTTTGTCTGCATTATTTTTTAAACATTTATCTTTTAACTCTAGAAAAGTTAGATACTCATACAATGTAGAAAAACATAACAGATCGTACAAAAACACCAGAACAAACTTCACAACATAGAAAAACAGAATAGACAACAGACAACTGAATAATACTGGCCATCGAATACAGAATGTTGAATTAAGAATCGGCATCACAGCACTCGGGACACACTCATAAGTGCTCTCAATCCCCATCTTCAGCAGAAAGTGAAAAGTTCCGTTTCCGGTGGCAACAGTAACTGTCTGACTGTATATCTGCCTTGCCTTTCCCTTTCCCTTGAGTGTTGAGAGTTAGCCAGATCCCCTGACAACTCCTTGCAGCGCCATTCTCCTCTGACCTCAATGATCTATCTGTGCCTCTGCACTTTTCACTTGATCCCAAAGGGCCCTCACAAAATCTAGGTTGTCATACATCAATTCACCACCAAGTGGTGCAGATGGGGCCAGTCTATTTGCCTGCTTGCTTCCAAATACACTGGCATAACCTGCATAAAATATTCAAAGGATGCTAAATATAAGGGTTCTCTGAAGCGATATGTGTCACCCTGTATAAAGCATGACTGTCTCCAAATATATCAACATGCTCTGTGAGTCAGTTACAATTATGACATTTGTGTACAGCTGATTTCCAAGCCAGCGGAAGGAAGAAGTAACTGCCATTCTTAAAATAGACGTTGTAAAATCCTATGACAGGCTTTGTCACACTACGCAATGTCCATTCACATTTGCTATGAACCCCCATGCACTTTGCCTGCCTCTCAACACAGTGCCATCTGTATAAATATAAATAATCACATAACCAGGGTGAACAAAGTGAACTTGCGGGTGAGTTCAGCTGGTCATCTTTTCTCAGTCTATATCAGCGGAGGTTGTAATGTCACTCTGATGGAAAATGCAAAGCAAGATACTACACATACAGAAGGGGAATGAGGTGTTATCAGTTTCACTGAAGATAAAGCAGTGGGTGGGAACAGAGATCATGATTTCTCACTGGCTTTAGCTGCAACCATACTAACAACATACTCAAAGTGGGTCGAGGGTCATGAAGACTCGGGGCACTAGTGGCTAAGACTCTCGGTCAGTGAAGCACACCAGCTGTTCCCTCGTGAGTCTCTGGGTCTAGCCATACAGGTGAAAAAGGCGCACTCAGGTGGTAAGTCCTCTGACCCGGCAAACCTTTCTACAGTCAAGATCGTTGTGCGTGACCAAAAAGGCACATCCTTCAAAATGTGACCCCCTTAACCAAGACCCTGCAGTCCCGGAACAAAACACAATGGATCTAAAGGAGACAATCTCGATTAAAAAAAACCAAGCCTAAAGTGGATCTACGTGGTGAGAGCCTGAATGGTTGTGGGATAGACAATCATGAACGTGGACGTCTGGTAACCAGGAGGGACGGCGCCAGGCATGTGGACTTCTTAGGGACATCCACTGCCTCTTCTTAGGTGACCTGCTACTTCCTGCGCCACAATACATTTTTAATTTGGATTTTTCATTTCATAAGAATTGTCGCCGGAGCTACAGAGCACGTGCTCTGCGCTTAATGTCATCTTCAGTGAGCAGCAAAGAGATAGTGAAGAGAAAAGGAGGAAATGGTGAGAAAAGAAAGCAGAGATGTAGAAGGTCAGGAGCCAGGAGATTTAGGCGAAAAACAGAACGGCTGGGTTCAATCATGTAAGAGTGGGCTTTTGGAACTGTCGCAGTGCCAGACAGAGAGGGCCCATACTAGAGAGGTTGATATATGATTTTGATGTAATCATGCTTCAAGAGCTGAATGCAGACAAATATCACTGCCCTGGATATGTCAGCTATGTAAACCCCGCTGGACATGAGCAATGTCTGCTAGTGAAGGAGGGATTGAAACATGTGATGCTTGACCTGATTTGGTGGAATCATGATGCTGTGGAGGTGCAGGGAATACAGATGGAGATTGGTGGCCTAAGCTGGAACACAATAAATATATATGCTGCCGTGGGTTCATTAGTCACAAAGCAACAGTGGGACTGGCTAAAAGACCTAGAGGAGATCGCTGGCAACAGGTTCCTTATTTTTGGGGATTTCAATGAATGGAACAATGAATTGGGCATTACTGGAGAAAATCGAGAGAGAGTTTCCATTGTTGATGCCATGGTCGACTCAAATTTTGTCTGCAGAAATGATGGTAGGCCAGACACGGCTATTGACCTGCCGTTTGTTACCCAGTCAGCAGTACTGAATACCAAATGAACTGTTTTGGGAGATCATGGATGCGATCATCTGCCATGTTCGGGATTGATCTCCAAATCCAGTAAAGTCAAGGCTTTAAAAGCTTGTAGGTCTTTCAATTATGAGCAGACAAACAACCTTCTTGGATGCCTCCGACAGAGGGCATGGAAGAGGAATATCAGATCTACTTTTGTGCAGCCTCCATGGTGGACATCAGAGGTAGAACAGGCATGGAACTTAAAGAGAGCTGCAGTAAAACGATTAAAGACAGTGCGATAAACATCCCTAAGTATGCAGGAAGAATTGGAGTGTGCAGAAAGAGATAAGAAAGATAGGATAGAGCTTTTCAAGCGTTGTGCAGTAGAGAACAAAAAAGCAAAATGGGAACATTTTATTAATGGGACTAGGGAGCGATAAGACATTGGGAAAGTTTCGGAAGCTACATAGTCAGATGCTCAAGAAAGATCGGCCCAGTGCAGTAGGAAAAATTCATAGAGATGATGGTATGCTGTTAACCACAGACAAAGAGAAGGGGAAGGCTTTCCTGGAGAGGTTAATTTCACAGACAGACCACAATGATGGAGATAAAAGAGAAACAGTTAGAGAAGATCTGGCAGCCATCTTAAAGAACATAAAATATTATGAAGAAATCATGCAGGTGGGAGATGTAAAACGTTTTCTGAAAAGGGTGAAAGACACTGCACCCGGGCTCGACAGGTTTAGATATTACCACATAAAAGACATGAGCGATGCAGACCTGGTGGAGATGACTGCTTGTTTCAACCAGAGCATTAAGACAGCTTCAGTCCCACAAGAGACATTACAGAAGTCCATTGTCCGTGGAGTCACCTTTATTTTTGTTCCGGGACACGCAAGCGTCGATGGAAATGAAAGAGCTGACAGGTTGGCTGGATCCGCTATCACTACCGACGGTCAGCCTATGGATCATGCTGATATTATCAATGCCCTCAGAGAAATGGGAAGGATAGACGACTTTGGTGGCAGTGAATCCACATCACTCGCCAGAATGGCAGACTTGGGAATTAAGATCGGCACAGCAAAAAACGAGACGCACACCAGCTACGCCAGAAGACTTGTTAATCAACATAGAACTGGTACTATTAGCCATCGGACGTTGGGGTTCATACTGAGGGGAGGATCTGAGCACCTATGGACATGTCCGGAGTGCAATGAGGATAACCCAACTAACTAACTAACTAACTAACTAACTAAGAGTGGACGCACAGCTACTGATTCTACTTCCTAAGCCTGGCAAGAATCATTCAACACTCAGCGGCTTTAGGATCATAACCTTTGGTAAAGTGTTGGAGAAGATAGTGCCGGGTAAGCTACAAGAATTTTTGGAACAGAGAAAGTTCCTTCCAGGAGGTCTGGGAAGTTAACGGTCAGGGAAACACACATGGTAAAATGCAGCCACTTTTGTCTTTGACACCTTCAAAGGTTTTCAGATCAGACAGGAAAGGGTGGCAGCAGCACTAGATTTAGAAGATGCTTACAACAGAGTCAGATACTGTATCTGAATGAAAGCGCTTATGGAGAAGGGAGTCTGTCCTTGGTTGGTAAAATGGATAGCAGCCATTTTGTAATCGTCGGGTAGCTCTCCACTGGGTTCATGGACCTCTGAATCATGTATTATAGCTCCAGGACAACCATAGGGATCTGTAATTTCACCTGTGCTGTTCAATGTTTTTACGAGCAAGACTGCATACCTGGAAACACCCGGACTTGGCAGAATATTGGCATTTGCAGATGATTTTCTCGTATATAGGAAGGGGAGAGATCAGAATCAAATAGCTGAAGAGTTCCAGGTGACAGTAGATAAGGTGATCAACTGGTGTATAGAGATGAATGCTGCAATCAACCCAGAAAAGGCAACCGTCCTGTGATGTTCTTTGTTAGAGCAGATGTTCCCAGACTCAAAATAAATGGTGGGGCCTTAATGCACTAAAGATTATGGCAGAAATAGACATGGAGCAGAAAATGCTGTTCACATTTTACCAGCACTTAATCATCTCAGTGACTGATTATGGATTGGGGTTACTCATTGTCTGGAAGATTCAGCTAGAGAAACTGGAGCGAATACAGAATGAAGCTATGTAAGTGATCCTGAGATGTACAAGAGACACCCCAATTGTGTGCATGTGAAACATCCTTACACTGCCGACTACTGCAGATAGGCTAAAGATGCTGCAGGCTTATTCATACCTCAGAATAGCTGCAGACAAAGAGCACCCTCTGTATGGAGCTTTGGCTGCAGGTAAGGGACAGAGGCTGAAAAGGGGGAAATTGTGGATGGCTCAAGCAGAAGACACTATAAGACAGGTATGCATGCGGGAGAACATTGGGCAAGGAGAGGAGATGGTCAGAGGAAAAGTCTGACCTGTGTAGGATTATGATCACATTGGGTCTCGAGTGAAAATACAGAAGCAAGCATAGACAATCATCATTACAAAACTACATGGAGATAATATTATTTTACAAGCATCGTTGATCTGTGCTATGTATAGATCTGTTTACTTGCTGGATAGCTGGTTGCTTGGTTGGAGTTTCTATGATTAACTGGTCAAGCCACTGGCTCACAAGTATAGTATTTTCGAGATCCCTGGAGATGCTACTGAGGCTAATGAGCTCTCAGACAGCCAACAACAAATGTAGACCAAATTAGGTGGGATAAAACATGGCGCAATAAATTTAATTATCTCATTTTAAATTGTGGGTTGGGGGGGGGGGGGGGGTTAATGGGAGGGTGGGTGAGGGGTTCCTTTGCCATCCTCTGGAAGACTGAGTCATATCTCTCAAGTCAAATTTTTATTTTTTTTCATTTCCTATCATATGCTACTTGAAAAGGGCTTGTGTCTGTCAAAGTGAGATCAACTGACATGGTAAAGAAACGCCATCCCTATGGGGAAAGCTTTACAGAGCTCTCCTTGCCATTTCAAAGCAAGAAGCAAAAGAACAAGTGGAGTGTGCAATACTGGTATCTGAACCTTACTTGTGTGTAAGGTATAGCAATCCTTGAAACTGGAAGACCTAAAAAGACACATTCTGGATAGGCCCCCTGAGAAAACGCGATCCAAGGTTTCTGCCAGTTAAAGTCCTAATTTTGATGTTGCTCTGTGGAACTCTTTCTCTAACCTCAATCTTCCTATATGTGACACACACAAATGACAACTTCTTTTGCCTACCATATACAACACAAACAGGATTGTCACACAACATAGAAATGTGTAGTTCAATCAACACAGGAAAACAGAACAGGCTGCAGAGGCAAGGTAAAGGACCCTTTTCCACACTTTCAGGTGTACTGTCCATATAGAGCTAGACCTAGATAGACCAAAGGGCACTCGATGGGTGATGTGGTCAACATAATGCCAGCCACCTTTACTTCTCAGGATTTTACCTGGTACCACTCAAGGCTGGATCGACCTGGAAGCCAATGTCATATTTTTTTTAAACCAGGACCCGAACCCTGACCCACAGGCAAGTGTCTAGCCACTACACCACAGCCGCAACCTGGCTGCAGAAAGCAAAACAAACAAAATATGCACAGGTCACACAGATAGAAACATATCACTTACTATCTCCTGACAAATATATAAATGATTAAATCAGAAAGTAAAACATAGCATAGCAAATATGACTTTCAATCTTTTTTACACCTAAATACACTGTCTACACTAACTACCCACATTCAGAAAGCTTTAATGTTCCATTCATTCATTACATTTGTAAAGTATGATGCAGTGTAGGGGCTGACCAGCGAGTGGTGCAGAATGAGAAGAGAATGTCAATAAATGATTCATGATAATTCCTGCCCAGGTTATGTGATACAGATGGCTTTTGTTTAGAGACAAGGTGCACTGGAGTTAGTTACAAAAGCGAATGGAGTCGCTTAGTGCAAAAAATCCTGGCATAATGATACCACAACATCTAGTTTTAGAATGAAGGTGGAAGGCAGTCATTGCAGCCTTCCGCTGGCTTGAGAAACTTTGGATATTTTCTTGAGGTGATGCTAACACGCTGGAAAACAAACGGGTCAGTTTTCCACCACCTGGTGACAAATAGATGACAAGCTAGATGTTGTAAGAGTCCTTTGGGAGTGAGAGAACACTGTGGAAGCACAAACAGATCATCACAGTCTGGGGTCAATGGTGCTGTGAGCAGTGAGCAGTGGATCTGGTCAAGGCTCAACACTCTCTCTTACTGGTACCAGCAAAAACATAACTCTGCTGCCGAAGTTGAGGACAGAGTGCTTGTAGGAAAGACCCAAGTGCTGTGACGTTGATTTTTAATTCAGCATTCAGTATGACGCTGGACTATGCAGTCAAAAAAAAACAAAATTTAAAATCAATTTTGCAGTATTTCAGAAACTGGCTATCCTCCGATTAACCGTCTCAAATTATCGAGGCCAAAAATATACCCTAACAGGACCTCAGTCACATGTAAATTGCGGACTCTTTCCGGCGACTACACAGCATACTGCCAAGAGTATCTCCCACGCCGCGCAAAGCGGCGCCGACTGGGGTTTAACTAGATGGCTGGGACTCACGAGCAAATAAAATGAAAAAGATGTGGTAGCTGCTGCTCCTGAGCCCCAGCCATCTAGTTTAGCCCCGCTCCACACTGTGCGTAGCGGCGCAGGAGATACTCTTGGCAGTGACTAACTCGGCAGAAGCTTTTTCACGGTATGCTGTGTAGCCACCGGAAATCTGCCGCAAGTGACATGTGACTAAGGTCCTGTTAGGATATATTTTCGGCCTCGATAATTTGGGACCGTTATTCGGAGGATAGCCCAGAAACTTGTTGTTTCCTTTGCAAGCTCTATCACTCAATCACACAAAATGCAAGCACAGGAAAAAAGAGGCGTCGTGCAAAGGAGGTGTGTATAAGATTATATCTAACCAAGTGACAATGGTGCGTGTCTGAGGGAGGGCATGCATGACTACCAATTTTAGGCATTTCAGTCAACACTCTCACCTGAGCTATTTCTTTGTGTGCACAGACAAAGTGGACAAATTCCATATTGACCATATCAGTGCCATATACAACTGTTATCATTTTATCCTCTAGAGGCACATCCATCTGTCCAATCATCAAAGACTCTTTCAGCTTCTGATCCTGGTGGGGTGATTCAATAATAAAGTCATAAATAAACAAATACAAAATAACACTAACTCTTATATGCATTGTATCATAGGTTAATGTTACTTATAAGTATTTTTATGTGTGCAGGTAGTGAGACCAGTAGTGGTCGAGGCAGAAATGCAGGCCTTGATGTGTGAGGATTTTTCTGAGGGCGGTGTGATCATCTACACAGATGGATCTGTCATTTGAAAATGTCAGGAGCTAGTGGGCATTTACATTTACTGCTCAGGTCGGAGGGAGAACTGTCAACCAAGACTGTGGTGTCTTCACCTTGACGACAAGCAGTTTGACTGTGGAGGTCATGGCAGCAACTAGAGCAACAGCCTGGCTAGAAAAACAGACTTTCACCTGGGCATGCTTCCTCGGCGACTCAATAAATATGCTCAGGAAGATCGAGGAGGGTTGCATAAGAAGACAGTGAGTGAAGTCCCTGAATAGATCTGGGCTGACCAAATTCAGTTTCATATTTGTTCCGGGGCATTCTCATGTAAAGGGCAATGAACAAGTGACAGACTTGCAAGTGATAGAAATGGACTAGCAATGGATAGGGCTAATATTCTGAATGCCCTCAGTTTGGCAACTCAACTAAACAAATCAAATAATGATTGTGAATCTGCAACACTTGATGAGACTACACGAACATAATATTTATAGGGGTGAAGCCAGGCAAGAGTGCTACACAGGGGCCTAAAGAAGAATAGTAAACCGAAACAGAACTGGTGTCATAAGCCACTACACGCTGAGGGAGATACTGAAGAGGGGATTTGAAACCTTATGGACTGAAATGTTCAATGTGTGATGATGATAATCTGTCGACTAACTAACTGTGAACATTTAGAAAGTTTGATCAGTAGGTGGGCAGTTAAGTGAGTGACATCCACAGGGAAAGATATTGGTAGTCTGAAGGAACTTTCAGGGGTGGATCTTAAAGGCTCTCCTCAAGGAAAGAGTTTGAGGGGAGGGGCTAAACTATGCTAACTGAGATGAGGGAAAAGAAAAATACAGTGAGGAGTATCGTATTCAATTCAGATTGCTGCCAGCAATACCACCAACTAAGAGCTGCACTAGAAAGTAATCCTAGCTGTGCGAGTCCTTTTTGCAAATTGCTGGAATTTTATCAGGTATGATTGAATATAGTTCTTTGTGAATATTTAGCTATCTCAGTTAGGAAGCTGGTAAACCATTCCAATATATTTAATGCCTATATTACATGTTTTTCAGTGTGTTTTCATGTTTATAAAATAGACTTGAATACTGATATTTATTTTAATGAAATGTAATGAAGTTATGTTCCAAACATTAATAAAATCATGGGCCTTGATTGTGGGGATATGATGCCCACATGTGCAGCCATGTGGTGACGGTTTTGCTAGCCCACCATATACTCAGTTTAATATATTTAATTACCCAGAGGAAATCCAGGAGAGGAAATGATTAACTGTCACCAGAAATATAAAATTTGGGACAGACTGAACATATAAAGTTTGGGGGTTTTCAGCTAATGTACATGTCACACTGAGCATATTCATACTTATTACAAAGAAAGTATAAAGTAAACCTGTTTCAGTCACTGACAGAGTCAAGAATAAATATTAGTGAAAATATAATATTCTTCAGTGTCAGTTAGGACTACTGTGATTCATTTATTATCTAGGAACACAAGCTATAGAAATACGGGCAAACTGAGTGTTATATAAAGTACTAGCTGAACCCAGCCACGTGTTGCTGTGGCCCAGAATGGTAAAATTTAAAAAAAAAAAAAAAATAGCTCTTAGCTAACAGTGTCTGTCATACCCCCCCCCCCCCCCCCCCCCCCCCCCCCCCCCCCCCCTCGACCCAGTCATATCTCCCTCTCCGAAGTATTAAAAAATCACCCCTGGCGGAAATTATTAAAATAGAAATAGTTAAGAAATGAGAACTGTAAAATAATGTTCTAAACTCTCTCAGCTAACTGTGTCTGGCATAACCACCCCCCCCCCCCCCACCTCTCATATCTCGCTCTCTGAAGGATTGAAAAATCATCACCTGGTGAAATTTTAAAATAGAAATAGTTAAGAAATGAGAACTTTGAAATAATTTTTTAAGCTCTCTCAGTTAACAGTGTCTGGCATTAACCCCCTTACCCTCGCCCCCTCCCACTAATCATATCATCCTCTCCGAAGGATGGAAAAGTCATCATCTGACGAAATATTGTAACTAAATTGAGCTTGGCATTCGTGTCCACACAGACTAAAATGGGTAGCATTAATTTGTACTGAGAAGTAAATGTGGCCAGTGTAACAGCTACCACATCACCCATCCAGTACCAGTACTACTGCTACCACTACCATCACAACAACAACAATAACTGTCACTACAGTCTGTGTAGGTCGGTGTAGCCAGAGGTGTTAGCGCCGCATGCTGTCGCCAGGGACTGTTTAGTTTAATTTTGCCCCCGACATGGGGAAAAAAACTTCATCATCTAACCAGTGATGGAACCCACAGTAAAAAGTACACTATACTCACAAAGAGCGAAGAAAAATACCCCGCACCTGTCATCTCTCCCTCTCTGAAGGAATTATTTTTAACTGACCTTGGCATCCGTGTCCACCCAAACTAAACTGGACTGTAAGCCGTCTTAGTTAACAGTTTCTGTCATTGCTGAATAGTTCTTGATCGAGTAAAGCGCGACCGGGGAGGCTAATCGGGACTTTACTGAAATCGGATGTCTTTGGACGAAAGGTGCAGATATCACAGCCTAGATGTAAACCACAACACAACGTGGCAACCACCCTTTTAAGGGAAAAAGAACAATTATCACCCAGCGGGGAATCGAACACCAGTCACCCGCGTGAAGGGTGGCATACTTACAACTATACTACCGAAGGCTTAAGAGTTTGGGTCATATATCACAACCTAGCTGTAAACCACAACACAAAGCGCCAACAGCCCTCTCAAGGGCGAACGAAAATTACCCGTAACATGATCATTGAGCATCATGTCGCGGTTATCACAGGCTAGCTGTAAACCCTAAAACCGAAAAACGGCGCAGATAACGCAGCCTGGATGTAAACCACAACACAACTTGGCAACCACCCTTTTAAGGTAAAAAGAACAATTATCACTTAGCAGGGAATCGAACACCAGTCACCCGCATAAAGGGTGGAATACTTACAACTATACTACCAAAGGCTAAAGTGTTTGGGTCAGACAGCGCAACCTATCTGTAAACCACAACACAGCATGCCAACGGCCCTCTCAAGGGCGAACGAAGATTACCTGTGACATTATCATTGAGCATCACATCGCCGCTATAACAGGCTAGCAGTAAGCCCCAAAACCGAAAAAAGGCATAGATATCGCAACCTAGCCATAAACCACAACACAACATGCCAGTCGCCCAGTTAAGGGCTCCAAAAAAAATTATATTACCTAGCGGGGCATCGAACACGGGTCACCCGCATGATAGGCAGAATATTTACAACTACGCTACCAAAGACTCAAATAGTTGGTGGAAATGAAATTATATAATAATGCAAAGTTCAATTATTATTGGCAGCCCTGCTAAGCAATCAAAAATAAATGGTCAATCAACTAAAAACAAATCCGGGCCGGCAACGAAACAAATAATGATTTCATTGCTGGAGCTACATCATTCGTGCTTTGTGCAATTTTATGACAAAAAACATGCTTTGAGTCAAAGGCAACATTGTGTGAAAATTTGAAAGCAATCGGCTCAGTAGTTAAGGAGTCTATAGTTAACAGACATGGAAAATTACCATTTTTATTAATATAGATGTGTGTGTGTGCGTGTGTGTGAGAGAGAGAGAGAGAGAGAGAGAGAGAGAGAGAGAGAAATACTGTTTTTGGAGGTAATTTTGCTTTACCCAAAAAACGGTGCTGTTATAATGTTCTAAAAGTCTCTATGGAATGAGATCTAATGGACAGATTGTGGTTATATTTTATTTATACATTACCAAGTGTGACAAGTCAGAAAGAACTACAAATTGATCAAATTGACCTCAGTTTGAATAATGGAGAGACAGAAGTAATGGTGATTTCCAAGAAAAGAATTGTGCCTAAATCTATATATATAAAAATCAATGTTTGTGTGTTTGTTTGCCCCTTATAGACTCGGAAACTACTGAACCGATTTAGCTGAAATTTTCAGGATATGTTTGTTTTGATACTGGATGTTGAACCATCATGGTTTGAAATTCAACCTGTCACTGTTAGAGATAGGTGACCACAATTTAAGCCATAATATTTGAAACTAATATTTATAATTTTAGTGATTTCTAATTATAGCCACGTTAGTAATTGCGCATGCGCCGTAGTCAGAACGCAAGGCTTCCACCACTCGCCAGCGAGTTACGTGCAGCCAACGCCTTCTCTAATACATAGAGTAGGTCGTGGTATAGCAAACAAGACTATCTCTATATTTGCCACAATAACCAAATTAAACACGATTTCTATTTTCTATTGGTTTTTTTCAAACAACCTTCGATTGGGGGGGGGGGGGGGGGGGCATCAAGGACTATCCTGACGTCGGCGCAGACATTGACTGCGACATTAACTTCATTAACCGTGTTAGACACGTGCGATTTCTATTGTTGTGCCGTTTCATTAATATATCTGGAGTATCTGTCTACGAGAAAACAATTGCCTGCGGTTTTGGGTTGTGTTATAATCGGGACACAGTAGTAGGGACACACATCTCTAATAGTTAAGTTCTCTTTTTGTTGATCCGATTAAGTGGCTGCTTGGTCGAATGGTTAGAACACTGGGTTCCTGTGCGGGAGACCAGGGTTCGAATCCGCAGTAGTTAATTTTTTTTTTTTTATCCCGGACTAAAATAATATCCTCATCTGCTCTGTCGTGGTGACAGCACTAGCCATGTTGCCTTAATACTTTAAAAAAAAAAAAAAAAGACAAGTAAATGGGTAAACCATTTGATAATTAAATTCGACCATTTTGCATACTTATGATTGCATTTTTAAACTTTACGATTGCATGGTTACGCTGAAATTTCAAAGATTTCAATTTATTTTCATTTAGATTTAGTTATTTCATCTGCGTTGGAATTTTAAGCTGTGCTGTTTACCATGGCGTTCATTTCCTAATTACGGTGTTTTTTTCCTGTGTTCATTTGCTTTTCAAGTGTTGTTTTTTTCTTCCAACTACTTCAATGAGGTAAAGAGTTGTCAGTGAATTTAGAGGGGGGTGGGGGGGGGGGGGGCAAACTATTAACTGAGAGAGCTTTAAGTCACAGTAACTGCTTTACCCACTTAAAGTAGCAGCAGCAGTAATAGTTGTGGTTGGGCTCTTACACCATAGTGCTCTCATGTGAAGACCGCTGGTAAGGTTATGGCGTTTTTCTGTCGGGAAGTGAAATTATACATCCTAACCTGACCAGTCTGTGGCGACAGCACTAGCCATGCGGAACCAAATCGTCTGGCTCACGACTCTCTGTCTACTCCGATGGTAACACAGATAGCAGTGACATTATTTTAGCTACTGTGGTGGTAGTCGTGGTAGTAGTTGTACTGGTACTTGAAGGATATGATGATGTGGTAAATATTACACTAGCCCCATTCACAACATATTACAATTCCTGCTCCCCATTTTAGTCCAGATAGACAGGGATGTCAATGTCAGTTACAGCAACAAAACAATATCGCCAGGTAGTGATTTTCAAACCCTTTGAAGAGGGAGAGAGCAGTAGTCGGTGGAAGAGGGGAGGGGAGGGGGTAATGACTTAAATTTAAGAGAACTTAAAGAGCTTTACATGTGATTTTCAAGTTCTCATTACCTAATTTGTTTATATTTTACTAACGCTACCTCCGCTTTTCTATTTTTTACGACTTACTTTGTTATTCACAAGTACAGTTGTAGCTTTACTTCCGTCCCCTTTAAAAATACAAACAGCTTTAGCATGTGATAACCAAATAACCATTTTTGTTACTGTGCTAATAACACCATTTAAACGACCACTAATATAAAGACACAATTATAAGGTGCGTGTTCTAAAGTTGGAAAACCAGACTATCTCTATATCTGTGCAGAGAATGATTGCGACATTACCTATATTAGACACGTGCGATTTCCATTGTCTTTCTTTTCCAAAAACCTTTGATGAGGGAGAGAGTAGTAGGTGGATTTAGTTGTGGTGGTGGTGGGGGGGGGGGGGGGGGATCAAAGACTATCTCTATATCTGAGCAGACAATGATTATATTAGACACGTGCAATTTCTATTTTCTTTCATTTCCATTTAGCCAAACTATGCCACAGCAACGTGTGGCCGGGTACAGCTAGTGTATAATATAAAAGTCAAAGGCATTATTTTAGGACAAGTACAGAAATTTAAGTATCAAGGCACATGGATAACATCTGACTGAAAGATTATAAAAGAAGAAAATTGTGTGCAATGAATCCATGTCATTGGAGGTTAGGAGAAGAATTCTCTCATGCTATATACAGCCAGTTTTAACATATGGCTGTAAAGCCAGGATAATTAATTAACCAGCCGAACAATATTTTGAGGCCTTAGAGATGTGGTTTTACAGGAGAATCCTTAGAATTCCTTGGACAGCTAAAAAGAGCAGCCCAGATGTTTTGAGAGAGGTGAGTGCTCGAAAACAAATTATCACACACACACACCCAAAAAAAAATTTTTTTTTTGGTCATGAGAAGAGGGAAAAAAGAACATGTTGTGACCACTGGAAAGATTTGTGGAGAGAAAGACAGCCTGAGAAGATTTCTGACACTTTTTTCATGGCATAGAGGGGTGTCAGCACATAAATTAATACATTCAGTTGCAGACCGCAGATTGTGGAGAGGCATGATCGCCATGCCTGTCAGCAAGGAAGGCATTTGATGATGATGATGACTTAGTGGTTCATGTTCATTTGCCATTCACTTTGGATATTACTGAGTTTTTCCTGAATTGCCACAGAAGTAAGTGGGAAAAAATATTTAAAAAATTTTACTAATTTTTCCAAACATACCATCTGTTTATTTCCTAATAATTAACTACCAACACAATGTATTTTTTGTAGTATTATCCTATTTTCCTCAACAATAAATGGTCCCTTTGATGTATAATTTGTGTATGTTGCGTGTCAGCTGAATTAGCATGGTATGTTTAATTGTGAAACACTTGTAAAATTTCAAACTTGGATTACCACTCCTTGGGATTCTGAGGATAAACCCCCTGGGACTCAAAGAGCATCTACCCACTGCATTACTGTGGCTCCCTTAGTGTTCTTAGCCCTAATCTGTTTGTACATGATGATGACTGATGATTGTGGGTTTGGTAAGGGCAGACATTACAAATATGCATAGGCTTTCAAATATTTTTCTCTGGGTCATAGAAAGTGTGTATTTCTGCATACTCTAGCTTACAGAAAAACTATTAGTCAACATGACCACAAGATTGTTAACTTACTCGAGGCAACTTCGCCTGACTTCCAGTTCTTGTGTCCTTAATCAATGATATATCCAAAAATCCTATTTCCTGAAACATAAAAAAAAAGACCGGTGTCAGTTTTGCTCTCTCTCTCTCTCACCCACCCATACAAATCTCATAAACTATACACCTGTATAATGTGCACCTTGTAATAAAGATAAATAAGCAAGATTTAGTATGACCAGATGCAATGCTATCAATTATGAATATGAAATAAAGGCAGTACCAGTCATGCCAGACCTTCTCTAAACTTGGCAGTGGGACACCTCACCAGACACACTAACACACGTGCCAGCCATACCTCGCAAAGTCAGAGTTTTAAAGCTATGCGACAAGAGACAACATTCCCAGACTATAAATTTTATACTTGGACATGCCTGGAACGCATGGTCTAGATATGCCACCCTTAGTCTAGACATGTCAAATGGAGACCTAGGGATAATGGGAACAAAAGGGAGAAAGTAGAAGTGGTGGTTGTAGGTTTTTTAGGGACGCCAAAACTCATGTAAAATGTCAGAACAAATTGGACAGAAAATATTCAATGGTAGAAGAAACAGCTTTATAAATGTCTCTAGTCTCATTTTTAATTTATTCCCTGCCATAAGCTGCTGACAACTCCATACATTATTCAGTTGTGTAAAGAGTTAGGAATAACCAGTAACTTTTCAAAATATTTCAATTTCAATTATTGCAACAGAGTGAATAAAGTTTAACTCTTCCAGAACAGCACAAAAAGTGATAAACATTTTCACCATTCAGATGAGAAACATCCGGCCACAAGTCCCAGAAACCCTGTGCAACCATTTGGTTAGGTTATATCAGGGCTCCTGACAACTGCCAAGGTGGGACTTTAAATAACCAAAAAATGCTTCCCATACTGGGACAAAGTTAGGCAAAACTCGCAACAGAAAACAAACTAAACAAAATACACACAAAAAAGCCTACTGATAACAGCATTTGGAACTACACATATAATCGTAATAAAGAAATGAAGTTTAATGCTTGTCACAGTGTGAACTTAAACCAGACAGTTTGTGAGTTAAAAATGGGAAACTCCTATTGGCACCACTGCTTTGGGTCCTCTGGGCACCCAGCAGAACTTCACATGTGCAGGTAGCGATTCAACATAGCACATACAAACTTGTTAGGATCAAACCCACTAGCACAATGTTTACTGCAGAAGTTTTGGGAGTTTCAGGTCAGCAGATTAAGCTAGATGTTGTAATGGCCCTTTGGTGGTGAGTGAACAGTGCAGAAGCCAGGGCCCATCATTACGGTCTTAGTAGAATGTTGCTGGGAGTGACGAGGGGATGTGGCCAACATCCAAAACTCAGGGGAAAGGCGAAAAGGATATACAGACTATTAGTGGTACCTCTAAAATTGTTAGTAGAAAAGGTTAGTAGACCAACCCGACCTCTGACTGTGCGAGACGTACAGAAACAGTCTTTCTTGGCAGAAAGTACAATCAAAATGACTGGCCCTGTTTGTTTGCAAAAATAATTCTTTAAACTATACGATCAATGGTTCCCCTCAAAATTCTGTCTACACCATCATCATTTTCTGCTGGTGATTTGATTCGAATATTAGAAATTCCAAAATAAAAAACTGCACCAGAAGAAAACCCCTGGGCTTTTCCAACTAAAATATAAGGTGTATGTGATAGTTACTTTATGTAGTAAAACTATCACTGTTTCAATTGGTTCTATAAGACTAGCATGACAGGGCTCACCAAACAACATTTTAGACAAAAAACTTTTTGGACGTTCCTACTATACAACAAGCTCGGCAAGGGGGAATGTGAAATGTAAAATCCTCAGTTTATCTATACACACACCCATAATATAAATTCCCTGTCACATTTGTTCACAAAAGGCTTGTTCACAACAATAATATAACCATGTAACCTCTCAGCGTCTAATTTTGCGTACACTGTTAAAATAAAATATATATAAAAAACAATTATTATGCATCTGATTTACATGTTGTACAACATATATGTATTGTAAAAAAACTCTGTCTTTTATTATTTCACTGTTCCAGACAACAACAACAAGCATCAATTCCCACCCCTCTTCCTCCCTCCATGGCACTCAGCATTCACCCAGACAGTTAACAAAACTAATTTTCTAGCACCAGCTTTTATATTTCCCTGAGGCCACAATAAGTCTATTCCCACCCCCTGCTCCCTCCTGACATTCACAAGGCCTCAAAACAGGCTATCAACCAGCAAAAGAAACTAATTTGCAACACTTACTATTATATTATCTACCCCTACACAGGTAGCTGTAAAAACATCAATTTCCACACGCCTCCTCCAACCCCATCACTCAATAAACCAGCAAATGAAGCTAATAATCTAACACCCACTATTATGTTATCCTGACTGACCTAATGGACCTTAAAGATTAAAAAAAAATGTGGGTCTTTGTGTTACATTTATTGCTCATATTTCTTTCTATAAACCTTGGCATCTATAACAACAGAAAATGACCTTTTCTGTGACTGACTTACTATTAACAAAACCTAATTATCTAAGCTGCTTGTTGTCTCAAACCTGATATTTGTGACACTGTACAATGTGAACTGTCATTACCTTATTCTGATCCTTCCAAAAGAGGAAATAACCCTTCTTGTCAACTCTCAGCGTTACTGGGGTGCCTGTTGTTGAATTCTGCAAGGAATAAAACAATCATTCTAAAGATGTCAGGCATGTAATTAGTATTAGAGTTACAAAAAAATCATGGCTTTCCAAAAAAGAAATACTGTAGCACCTCAGTATACGTTCGCTTTGTTATACCTTCCAACCGAGTATAGCCTACATCCTGACAGGAAAAAATTTACCTGGTATACCACTTTTTTTTTTTGGGGGGGGGGGGGGGGGGGGGGAGATATGATCCACGTGCTAGAACTTGTGTGAATCAAAATTAGTAATGACACAAAGCACTATTTTTGTTAACATCTCTCGAGACAGAGCCACGGGCAGATATCAATGACTTTGCGAAGAAGTATCATCCCAACAAAGCCCAAACAAGCCGTAATAGCATTGTCTGGAATGACACACACATTGTCACATTTTCAAAACATCCCAAAGAAAAGGAAAAAGCAAAATTCTGTAAACAGATTTTTGGTAAAAGTCTAACCTGATGATGTAACAGAGTAAGATCATAGCTTGTTTGTTAGGAGGCGCAACGCTAGAATATTAGGAGATCAACAAGTTTTGGTAACCTTCATTTTTCCCGCCAAAACTGAAAATTTACGTCATCATTTGTTTGTTAAGAGATATAATTTTGCATCTTGGTTAATAGAAAGAACGTCAACAGGTTTTGGCAACAATATTTTATAAATAATATCTGACGTCATTGTTGGCCTTGCCCTTTCAGAGAAAACCTAGTAGCACTTGTTTTGTAGGAGTCTTTTGACGTCAATTGTCTGTTTAACTACAATATTGGCGTAGAATAGGATGATGAAATTCGATGCAATCGAGATATTTTTATAAAATCTTATGTGAGAACGTACCTAGCAAACAAGTTGAGACGTACTAGAATATTCTAGAAGCAGAAAGAGCGAGAAGAAAACAAATACCTAGCATTCCAGCATCCAAGTATAAATAACGAGTAACAAAGCACCTTAGCAATTCTTCAGTCCACAAGACTCAAGAGAGGAGAGACCAGTCACATTGACTCTCAAAGCAGCCTTCAGTCGTAGAGATGGCAGCTCAGCTCAAAGAATGCCTTCAGTCGTTGAGAATTAGAGGACGAGCGACTAGTCTCAATGATCCTCGTAGTTGTGGAGATGCCAACTCAACACTAGAAGGAGAGCAGCCGGTCATATCGAGCCTCGAAGATAGACACTAGAGAAGAGACATGAAACAAGACACTGAGCTACAGAGACAACACACAAGATACATGGTTAACAGCGACACGTTAGGTAGGAACTATAGAGATGTTAGAGTCGACGATCAAGCCGTTAGTACTAAACAGCACTAGAAGCCAGGTTGCAGTTATAGACACTAGAACCAGTTAACTAAGTAACTAGAGATAAAGAACACAACGCGAACTTACGAGTATTTAGCCATAGAGATAACACAGTGCTATTCAGAATATCATTGATGTATTTGTGACATTGCTGAAGTACCATAATAAAGACAGTATAGACAAGAACTGTTGTTTCCAGACATTTTGTATACAAGCATCAGAGTCACGTGAGAAGCATGCAGCTAGCAAAGACATCATCATCACCACTATCAACACAACCATCTTTCTCCTCGTCTATAACCTTCCAATCGACTCCTCCTGTAGCAAACCTAAAGACGAACCTGGGTGTGACATCAACATAAGCAACAAAGGAGAGAGCTGTGCTTCAATGAGACCCAACAAAGTCCAAGCATAAGATGCTGTTATCGCTGACGGAAAGACAGGACCGATGGCGGTTTCAAAGGTTTAGGGTTAGGGTTAGCAGATATAGTTTCTCCAAGAGTCACACATACATATTGCAAAACAGCATCCTCCTACCCAGCACCCATAAACACTTTTGTTTAAACTTGAATGCCAGCTGCTGGCCATATCGAGCGTTCTATACTCCATGCTGTGAGTGCCAAAACATCTACAACTGGCCCTAACCCAAACCACAGCCTAGCGCCCCCCCCCCCCTCCCCCAAATCTGATCCATAAATCATAATTAATTGTATTACTTGTGTTATTACTGTTTTTTTTTTTTATATTTAATACCTGGGTGATCTGTTGCCGAAAGTGTGCTTAAGAGCCTAAATTTAACATTTACATTTGAAAAAAATACAAGAGAAAAAAACAAAAGGTCATGTAGGGGTTGAATGCGTCACCTTTCGGTTGTTAAGGCAGATGTGATACCAATTACACTAGACATTCACATAAAAATGAGAACTGAAAACAAGACCAGTATTGTATACCAGCCGATTGCGCACCAACACATAGAAAACTGCACACCAAAAAAATGCACAAGACGCCCACAGCAAGGCAAATGAAATGCAAAATTACTAACTCATCATCATCATGTAGCAGGTCCTTTGCAGAACGTCGCTTTCATCACAGTCCGCCTGTAAGAAACTCGGTCTCTTGCCAGTTCTCCCGCCTCATGAACTTTCACACTCAGGGAGTCACTTATGTCCTATGCCCATCTTCGTGTCGGTCGGCCCCTGCCCCTCCTTGCTGGTACCGTGCCTTCTGCTATAATTGTTCCAATCCGTCGTGGCGCTTGATATGACCAAAATATTTCAGCTTTCGAGAAAGGATGCTGTTTATTAGCCAGTCCTCCTTGATGTTCAGATCTTTTAAGATGTCAATATTTCTCATCTTCTTTTGCCAAGATATTCTGAGAATCTTTCTACAGCATTTCAGCTCAAAAGCCCCTATTCCATGATGAGTTTCTTGAGATAGTAATGTGGTAGTTTCCCGTTGTGTTCCACATCCACAATTACTAACTACACGCTTCATTTACCATCATCATTATCGGGTGAAATAGTCGACTGTCCCATCAGCTATTGAATTCCCGTGGATATCCCCTGTTTTGGGGGAATTGTTACAAAAGAACCAATAATAGCTCACATGCTCGTCAAGAAGTAGAATACGCAAAAGCAAAATGTATACTTTCGTTAGAAGAAGCTCTCCACCAAATTATACGTCTGCCTCCTGTCAGAGATGCGTATTAGTGCTTGTCAAAACTGAGCTATATGAAAATTTTAAATCAACCATCAAAACCTTTTTTGTTTGTTCCAGAACTGCATGTATGAACACTGCGGGAGAAATCATAAATGCAACAGAAGAACAATACAGAAAGATATTTGAGTTGATTGGAAAGAAGAAGCCCCATTTAAGAAAGATGAATTTCCAACAGATAGTGAAAAGTTTTGGACTAGTGTTTTTCAACATGAGTCATATAAAGAGCTTACCACCTCTGCTCTGACTTGTTTATTAACAGCAGCTAATAATGCTTTTATTGAGAAAGTATTCTGTCTTGTATCGTCAGACAAAGGCTAGAAAAAGAACACAGCTGCAACTTTTCTGAGCAATAGTAAGAATAAGAGCATAACTGTTCTTACCTAACAAATGATGCATGGACTTCGACCCACCATCAGAGTGTCAAATTACAAAAGAAACAGCCACCAACAAGTTGTGATTTTGTGTCAAAATACCAATGTGATGTTTGGCAGTTTTTTTTTTTAAATGATAGGCGCAATTTTTTTGGTCTGTTGGATAAGGCACTACGGAGATCATTCTCCACATCAAGCTGTCAACACTGTTTTGTTTTCATGACTGTTAGAGCCGCAAATCCAGATTCACAAAAGTATGCAGAGAGAAATGGCCAAAGAACATTTATAGCTAATTTGGCCACATGAGGGTACATTTTAAAATAAAGCAAGCCCAAAACAATATCTACGCCAAAATATGGGAAATTGTCTTTAGCTCAGTCGCTTCTTCTTGAATAGACTAGGAGTATATCAATGTCAATAAAGAAAGGATTTCTGGTTAACTTGCAAGAACAGTCTTTAAATCAAGAAAATAGAAACTTAACTTTCACCTGAAAAACTAAATGTGACTGAATTTTAATTGCAAGTTAATTATTTTCCCACTTCTCATTTCCAACATTTAACTGAGATAGGAAAAATGATGCCAATTTCTTGGATTCAGTTCATCATTTCCATAAAATTAATTTTCCACAAAAGGTCTAATAGCATTGTACGACAGAATAATGTTGCCACCTTCTCCTTGAAATTTTAATGTTCAGGTTATTCAAAAACAAATTACAAATGGGTTATCAGTAAATGCATGATACAGATCCTTCTTACTCATGAGAAAAACTTTGACCTCAGACTTCAACTCGTACAATTGAACCAGCATATTTACCTTTGATAACCAATAGGCCTCAGTATTTTTAAAAAAAAGAATATAACATTATGTGTGGCTTGAAGATCATCACAAAGAGTCATGTGTTCAATGGGCTTTATTTCACATAATTCACCACTTTTAAAACTTTTGTCAGTGCATCGTTTAGATTCTGTGGCAAAGTTTTGGCTGTCAGGGAATGTCTGTGTATTAAACAATGAGTTCCAATGAATTTTTGATATTTTCTTCTTTAACCAGTTTGAGAAACTCAAAACAAGAAATAATTTTAACAACTTGTTTCAACCTGAACAATATTTTCAGCTAACCAAAATACAAGGTTACAAGCGCTTCTAACCACAGACAATGAAGGTCTATGTATTTAGAACCTGCATGAATATCATAGAAAATAACATTTGATTTTTACAGAGCCGCAGTCAATTAACGTATTATCACTTGCCCCAAATTACTGATCCGTTCATGTAACCTAAAGCATCACCTTCATCTGTGTTTTTGTCAGTCAGCGCTCTGACTTATGTTGTAATTCAATGGGAAAAATCAAGGACGTGACTGAGGGGGCAAATGTATCACTGTATCTTTCTGTTTCTTTGATTACAGACAGTATATTTCAAAATAAGGAATGGACTTGAGAGCTTGGGGCAATTGGAAAACTGACAGAGAGCAGGGACAGAGGGAGGCTAAGAGATTAATGCCCTGGTGACATGGCCATATACATGGGGTGCGACAAGAGCACTGATAGGATCAGTGATTCTGTTGATCGTGTTGGGCAACAAATCATGACCGCCTTTGTTTATTG